GCCCCCCCTTCCATGATCTGTAGACCCTAGCATCATAAAGACACCCAGCATCATAAAGACCCAGCTGCCTCAGTGAGGACAGCCAGGCATGGCAAGAGGCTCCTCTGGTCACGAGTGATGTTGCCCCTTCCACATCCCCACCAGCACAGAGGAGTGCTGTCTTCAACAGCTGCAAACCAATGTCCCAACACCTAGAGCTCAAGTCCAGCCCTGCTCCACCAGAGCATGGGCTGGCCAGCAGCCAGAGGAAGGAGGGACGCTGTGCTGGTACATGAAGCGTCAGCCCACAAAGCATGTCCTAGACCCCCAGAGGAAAGCCTCAGGCGGGAGCGGATCAGCTGGATCTGCTGCCGCAATCAGGTCTCCTGTGCACCCGTCCCACAAGTGCAGGCTGCAGCCCGTGCTGCTCGCACAACAAGCAGGGATTTAAAAAGGCTTCAATCACAGAGCCCGAAACAAACAAACTAAATCAGCCATCTGAAAGAATGTAAGCAGGAAAGCCTCCCAATAACTGAGCCCTCTTTCCAAGCATTTTACCAGCTGCCAACCTCAGCCCCCCGACACAGCCAAGAACAAAGACCACTCCATGGTTCTGCCCTTAACACAAACCATCTGGGATGGGAACACAGCTCCACAGACCTCCATTTACAGCAACTGGGAGAAAATCAATGTCAACAGATCTGGGCGAAGCCAAGCAGCTGTGGAAAGGCGGTCAGGGGAGCAGGAGGGGACAGACAAGGTGCAGCCGTACTCACAATAGCGCTGAGCACCCAGGCTTAGCTGCTGTAAAGGACCACGTGTGGGTTCCCAGTCCCTACAGACAGACAGCTGCCCACGTTAAGAAGCCGTTCGGGGTGCTAGGTAGTGGAGGAGAGTCTGAGGGATGGCACAGATCCCCGACGCGTCAGCTGGGGGAAACCTTGGTGGCTGCACTGAGGAGGAGGAACATTCAGGCAGTGTTCCTGGAAGGGACTGAGGACAAAGACAGCCAGCACAGGCAGAGGGTGCAGATGAAATGTTAGCTCTTCCATGGGAAGATATAACACACGGCTCACAGGTCCAGATAACATACATGTAAAACATGCTGACAACCCAGCTGACAAGCTGTCCGCATGTCAGAGGGTGACCTCTGGGCAGCTGGAGATGCTAGAAAGTCCCGGGAGAGTGAGCAGCCTGTACCCACCAATGGTCCAATGGGCAAAGAGCTGACTTGGGTAAGTGCAGGCTGGTCAGGCAAAGACAAAACAAATGGATGGCTGCAATCAGACCAGATCACCAGGAAGCAAAGGAAATCGGTATAATGAACGTCAACCAACACATATTTACAGCTGTCAGATCCTGTTGGCAAACATGATTTATTTTTGGGGGATTGTGGGTTTGACCAATAAACAAACCAGCACCCATGCCGTCCATCCGAACTCAGAGGAGACGTAGGACTGGGTACCATTTCCCATTTTTAATCAAGAAACTACAACTCCATGAAAGGACAGTGGCATTTGTTTGAAGTCACTGTTAGCTGGCTCAGAACAAACCCATGCTGGGGACACACACACACACATCCTGCAGCACGGGACAATATCTCCACTGGAGATCTGTGCACCACAGGAATAAGACCATTGCTGAAATAAAGCACCCATTTGTGCTACTGACAAGTCGGATAACTTTCTACGCTGAAAACAGGCCCAAAAAAAGGTCCAAAAAAGGACCCAGGAACTAATATTTGAAAATATGTCAGTGGGAGACTTTACAACATCTGTATATTCAGCTTATCAAAGAGAGAGGCAAGAGGTGACTGCATCATATACTGCCACAGCTGACAAGGGGAGCAAAGCTCACCCCAAGCTAGTGGCCAAAGGAATAATGCATTTCCCTGGCTGTAAACAGGAGCAAGCCATGTCTTTTTTCACCTTATGGAGCACCTTAGGGAAGAAATGCTTTCAAGGGACACTGAATAACCCCAGCCTATGCCTTAAATAACCCAAGCTCACAGCAACGAGTCAGCAGGCTCTCCTGGGCTTCTCCAAAGGCGAGTCTAGCCAGCAAGCCACTGTTGCTGACAGCCTGTCATCCTAGCGGAAGGATGTCCAACATCCCAAACAGTTAACATTAGGGGACACAGCAAGAAGGGCATTGGCAGGCCATACAGCTCTGCCCCAGACTTCCCCGCCACCTCTCCCAGTCCTGCTCCCTCAGCCAGTCCACAAACCCTCAGCTCCTTCACCCCACACGTCCCCTCCAGTCCCCTTCTCCTTCCATTCCCCTCCCCTATTTTTCAGCATCTCCAAAGCTTTCTCGACCCTCCCTCCCCACCTTCCACCCCTCTCCCTGCCCCCTCCATCTCCCTCTCCATCCCCTGCTCTCTCACACCTCTGTTCTGTGACTAGGCAGCCCAGCCAGTCCACAAACCCTCAGCTCCTTCACCCCACACGTCCCCTCCAGTCCCCTTCTCCTTCCATTCCCCTCCCCTATTTTTCAGCATCTCCAAAGCTTTCTCGACCCTCCCTCCCCACCTTCCACCCCTCTCCCTGCCCCCTCCATCTCCCTCTCCATCCCCTGCTCTCTCACACCTCTGTTCTGTGACTAGGCAGCCATGCCATCCTTCCTCCACTTCAGTTAATTCCCTCTCTCCAAGGGAGCCAGCATTTCATCTCTGCCACTGAGCCCCCTTTCATGTCTCCCGGCTTTTGCCATCCCACTCCCTTCCTCCCCGTGGCTGCCGGGATGGGAGGGCAGCGGGGGGACCCCTGCACTTGGCAGGCCAGAACTCTGGCTCTCTTTAACAGCGCCTTTCTCAAAGCAGGCACAGCGTGAAATAAATAAATAAAGCAAATCTCTGTCTCGCCGGGCACTGGGGGTGGGATGAAGGATGCTATTTGGAGAAGCTGTTTCCATGGCAACCCCTATTCCCACCACCAAGCGGGCACAGGTCACCTGTTTCCATGAAAGTTTCCCCCCTCCCTCCCCATCCCTCTGCCCCGGGAAATGCCAGCACAGCCCCAGGGGCCCAGGCAGTCCAGCCTGCGGGAGAAGCGGCAGGGATGCCGGAGAAGCAGCTGCAAATGACCTCCAAATTCCCCCACACAGCATCGGAGGAAGCCAGGGCATCCCCACGGTGTGGCACACGGGGACAGGCAGCACCCAATCCCCTCTGCCCCAACGCCAGCAAGGCAACCCCATCAGCTCCCTGCCTGCATCCCCATGGAAAATCTACTGTGCTCTGCTGCAGGACTTGAGGAGGGATGCAGGCACACACACTGACACACGTGTTGTTGGGACTGGAGCAGAGATCAAAATGTGTCCCCTCCCTCCGCATGTGGCCCTGGTGCTGCGTTTCTGTACGCTTTCAGTTATTTATTTTAATTTGCAGTCGGCTGCTCCCATTAAATGCTGCCAGGTGCTCCCAGAACAACCCGTGGTTCCCTTTTTAGCTCTAACAACTCCATCTCTCAAGCGACAGATGCGCTCACCGGGACCTTTCCCCAAGTAAGGCAGCGTCAGCCCCACGTCGCCGAGCGCTCCCGCAGCCAGCCTGACGCTCCCGCCTCCACCAGCCCCCTCCCCACATGCCCACGTGCCTGCCGCAGGCCCGGCAGCACTGCCCAGTACCCCCCGCACCAAGAATGCCGGCAAAACGCCAGGAAGAGGATGGAGCAAGGAGAGGAGAATGGGGAGCTGGTTCTGCTCTCCACCAGCTCTCCAGCATGGGGCAGGGGGCACAAACAGCAGCTGTCTCACCCACCGCCAGCATTAATGCATCTTCTGCCGGTACCAGCAGGCAGCTGCCTAATGCCAGAGTGTACAAGAGGGTCGGCAAAGAGCCCCCGGCTGAAGTTCTGGGGTTGGCACCCAGGCAACCATCCTACGGCACAGCGCAGACTGGAGGGATTCACACGGTTCCCCCACAAGGCTGGGATTTTCGCCAGGAAAAGCAAGTTTATAAATAGTGTGTTTCAACATGAACAAACGAAAGCAGCAGAACTCGACAGTCAGATAAGCCAGAGGCTGAGTGCCGGCCCCTCCCAGCATCCTCCCCTCCAGGAAGGATGGTCCCTTCCCTCCACCGCCCAGCTGCCCAGGACCACCCTCACGCTCTAGAAAGCCTGGATCTGGAGATGTCTGTCAGATGTGTTGTTTGGGAGCACCACTGCCACGGCTGGCCCTGCAGCCAGAGCAAGGCAGTGCAGTTGGCTTCAAAAAGACCAGAAGCAGGGAGGATGGCCACCCGCTCCACTCTGCTTGGCAGCAAGGGCAAACACAGCAAGGTGCTCAGCAGGATGGAGACCGGATGCCTGACAGAGGGGTAGCCCACTGCAACCAGCTGCCCACCCAGGACCAAGGGCCACAAATTCCAATGTATTGCTTGAAACCAAGTTCTCATAAGCGCATGGGCCAGAAAGTTTCTAGCTTCTCCTCCCGCCTCTGCAGAAGACGGCTACCCCATGGGTGAGGCTGGCAACGTGAAACAGAAGTTTCATGGCTCGATGTGTTACACTGAAGGGACACATACCTGCCAGATCCTAACAACAAGCAAGAGGCTCAAGGGGAAAACCAGCTTTTATCTCTGCGTTAAGGAGAAGAACAACAAGTCGTCAGATAAGAACTTGCTTCTCGTAAACACAAAACAGCAGAAAAGACATCCCTGCTCCTACAGAGCAAATGGGACAACATCTCTGCTGGGGAACTACCTGCCAGACTGCAAAAGGAGGAGATCTTGATGGTGGTGCCCAAGGGAAGACATCAAGAGATGGCACGTCAAAGCAGCCTCATCAGCTGTCAGCAAGAGAAGCCTCTGACAGTCCAC